ACCCCATCTTTTGTCTCTTGTCTCTTTTCTAATCCTGCGCTCGGCTTCTCGCCCCGCCATCTCCGGCTGGCTTCCGGCTATCATGCACATTTTAAGGTTATGCATTTGCTGTGGCCCTATTATCTTGATCTAAATGTTAAATTGTCCTTGTGCACAGCACCATCCTTCACAAAACCAGCTACACTCTCTTATTTTTCTAAGATCTAATTAATAATTTTACAGTATATATTTTTATCCCAACACCTGATTCTTAATGATTTATTTAAAACTGGATATCACCAAGTAAAGGGGGTTCTACAGTTTTGTTCCCATATACTTAATTTGTCCCAAACATATACTTTCTCATTAATGCCAACCGTTCTCTTGCCATCAATATAACTTCCAGTAAATGATGTTTGCCAACTTACATTAGGCTGCAGCTCATATTTAGTCATGAGTGGTGCTTTTGGAACATATGTTGATGTGGTCAATTTATCATAAGGGGATAATTTTGAATTGTTCAATTTACTCGGATCCTTCTGTGGGAATGTTTAGTTCAATGACTGCATAATTCTTTGTGTTATTTTTATAATATTTTGGGAATTCAGAGAACTGCAACACTAACCAAAATATCAAAAGAAAAGGCAAAAACCACAAAGCTGAGGCAGGCAGTCCTTCTGGTTGCAGCAAGTGCTTGTAGCTGTGGCCTTGCCAGCAGCTCTCCCTCCAGCAGCCCTGCCAGGTCAGAGAGGGCAGCCCAAGCTGACTCCTTTAGGATACTGCCATGGCATGGACCACGCCAATGTCTGACACTTACTACATCATTAACATGTGACTATGAAAGCAGTGAATAAAAGTTTCTCCACTTCCTCTAACTGTATCAAACATTGTGGCAATTCATTTCTGCTTGATTCCATTTTCTTTTTCACTTCTAGGCTGCCTTTTGTGCAAAGTTCTCTGAATTGAAGAATAATACTTGAGAGGCAAGACCATAAAGTTGACAGGAAACACAGCCCAGCCTTTTTCTCACCTTCTTTCTCTCACTACTTAAAATTCAGAGTTCGCATGTAACATTTTTTAGGCATCTCAGACGTGACTTCCACTGCTTGTTTCTCTTTCTCTGTCTCTGTCTCCATCTCTCACTCACGCTCTTTCTTTCTCTCTCAATTGATTAATTACAACTAATAGCTACCAATCGCTTTCAGTAATTTGAACATTTCACAAGTGTTTTGCTGAGATCATCCCTAATCCCCATGCAAACACTGTCACTGTACTTAAGGATGAAATGATAATCACTTCCCAGCAAGAAGACAGCAAGATGATGACCTCATGGTGTAGCAAATCTTTATGTCAGGGATAAGATGCTCTCTTTTGCACATATGCTCAGACTGTGACCATGACAGCTACTGCTCCAAGAAGACATGGCATTTGGTAAGTGTATGTTCTTATTAGATAGAGAGCCATATTCATAGAGAAGTAGACTATTTATCTTAAGTATTTGTGTGGGCATAGAATTCTCTTTCCCCCTCTAGATGTAAAACTGAACACAGAAAAACTCATCCACCAGACAAACATGAAACAAATATTTTATGAGGGTATCTGAGACATTAAATTACCCCAAACTTCCTGTCCCAGGGTGCCCGACATCTATTGCTCACCTTCTCTGTCATAGTCCAGGCTGAAATTTTCTCTCTGAATCAATACAATAAACATCACAGTCCTTGCTCTCTGGCTTGTAAGAGGGTTAAGAGCACGTTTAGCTCTTGGCTGACACACATCTGTTGTCTAATGGCAGCAGCTGCTTAGAACATTTTTTAAAATTCTGTGGTGTTAGTATTTTTGGCTTTGACTGACTATGATTAAATGTCTCTGAAAACTTTCTTTGATGGAGTGCAAAACCATACGCCTCTGTCTCTTTTCTTATGGGTTTTGGGGAGCAGGATGAACTTTATTGCATCAATAATTTAATGCCTTTAGAAACTTCTGGGATCAGTGTGAAGAAGGTAAACTCTAACTCCCACTTAGAGAAATAGAAATTGCCATTTTACAAAAAGTGACTAAGAGTTTTCAAGGCTTAGGGAGCAGGAAGAATCAGGGACTATAAATATGCTAACTTGTAAATGCAACAACTAACTAGGTTTAAAAGTGCTTTGATAGCCCCCAAACTTTTGCACGTTGTCTGGACATGAGAAGCTTCTCATTTAGTCCCTAATTATGTCTTCATAAAAATAACTTTCATAAAAGAAATAACAAATGTAATTATTATTTATGAATATTTGTAGTTTTTAAAGGGCACATGGAACCCATACTCACAGCTGATTTACATATATTTTCTTGTCTTCATCATTTACCATAATTTTGTTTTTCCCACTCCTACTCAATTGACTTAGTTTAGTATAATTTAAATTCATTTGTACGATTCCTCTGTGATTTAATGGGACACTCACTTCTTTCTCTTATTTGGATTTGTTGATCAGTCTCTGCTGCAAATTTTTTTTATTTGTCATAAAACATTTTCTTCTCAAGAAGATATTTAACAGATTTGTGTGCATATACATGAAATGCACGTTTTCTGACTTTTCCACTCTTTTTTCTCATCTTCTGTAAAACTTATGATTATTTTATATCCTTCCAGAAATTTGGTTTGATTTTCTAAAGCATCTATTTCTCTTAATTAATCTCTACTTCACCAATATTCCAATATTTCTCAAATTTTAATGCCAGTGAAATCAGTTCTTATAATTTAATAAATTGTTAATTATTAGAGTAAATGAGAAAAAATATTATTGCAAAATCAATGTCTTCTTTTGAAGAATTCTAATTTGGATTCTCTAGAAAATATCTAAATTTTAAGTGATTATAAAATTTTCTGTCAAATTAAATATGACAATATGTAGAAGGAATCTACTCTCATCCTACTTTAAATATGGCCAAATTGAGAACTATAATTAATTATATTATTTTTACTACACATAAAAATGCTAAGCTCCAAAAAGAAGGAACATTATGCAATGCAAAGTTATGATTCTAAACATTTGACAAAAAGGTGTATTTTTAAATAAAAACATCTCTTATAAAATTTATTTTGCATGTACTTAATTCCTGAGATAAACATTTGTTACACTTGTGGGTTTCTTTTTTGTTGTTCTGTGAATAATTTTTTTTTCTTTTACCAAATTTTCCTACTTAGAAAAAATATGCTCTCTTATGTAATATTTTAGAATGGGCAATTATAATATTTTTGTATTGAAACATAATTGATTATACCTACTTCTGGTGTACAGAGTTGACCATCATTGTTTGTGTACAATACGTGGTGATCAAATCAGGATGGCTGGTGTATCCATCATTACAAAACATACTCATTCTTTGTGTCCATTATCCAGTTTCCCACAACCCCCTCCACCACGATTTTCCACCCCTAATAACCACAGTTCTGTTTTCTCCTTCTGAAAGTTCAGCCTACTGTGTTTTCTTTCTTTCCTTCCTTCCACTTACAAATGAGTACACACGGTATTTTTCTTTCTGTGCCTGGCTTATTTTACTTAACACAGTTTTCTCTAACTTCATTTATGTTGCTGTCGATGGCAGAATTTAATTCTTTTTTATGCCTGAGTAGTATCCCAATGTGTAAATATACTACATTTTCATTTATTTATTTCTCTCTGTGCCTGGCTTATTTCACTTAACACAATTTTCTCTAAGTTTATCCAATTTGCTGTGAATGGCAGTGTTACATTCGTCTTTATGACAGAGTAGTATTCCATTGTTTAAATATACCACATTTTCCTTATCCAGTCATCTGACGATGGACTTTTATGCTGGTTCCATATCCTGGCTATTGTAAATAAGCTGCAATTAATATGGGAGTGCAGGTATCCCTTTGACATGATGATTTCCAATCCTTTGGATATATACTCAGTCGTGGGATTGCTGGATTATATGGCAGTTCTATCTGTAGTTTGACAAGTTCAGGC